CGTTACCCCCCACCAACCATGCTGGTGCAAAAAAAAGAGAAGAAGAAGAAGAAGAAGGAAAAGAAGAAGAAGAAGAAGAAATAGAGAGATAGAGAATAGAGAGAGAGAGAGAGAGAGAGAGAGAGAGAGAGAGAGAGAGAGAGAGAGAGAGAGAGAGAGAGAGAGAGAGAGAGAGAGAGAGAAAGAGAGAGAGAGTAAGGGGGAGATAGATAGATAGATGGATAGATAGATAGATAGATAGATAGAGAGAGAGAGAGAGAGAGAGAGAGAGAGAGAGAGAGAGAGAGAGAGAGAGAGAGAGAGAGAGAGAGAGAGAGAGAGAGAGAGAGAGAGAGAGAGAGAAGGAGGGATGTAAATAACCTGCAACACCGAAGAGAGAAGGAAATGAATACTTAATGAGTGTATCCACTTGTTTGTGAAGTCACGGGTGATCATGAAAATCATATATTGTGAAAATAGAAGTGGTTCATTCTGAATTCGATATTGTACCGAGTCACAAATACTAGTTTCTTGTTTTGCGTTTTTTGCTAGAAGAAAATGTATTATTTTATGTGTGTCATAGAGCCATCCAGTTATCTTGACATAATAAGACCTAGATGAAAAGGATGTAGTGACGTCAGACATGGCCATCGGACAGATATAGCGACGAGAGGAATATCTTAATATAGTCCCTGTCCCTTACATCCCATCCCTTAGTACTTACTTTTAGTCCTACTCCTTGCCCCTTAGTCCAAGCCCTTAGCCCTAGCCCTCAGTCCTTAGCTCTTAGTCTTAGCTCTTAGTCCTTAGCTCTTAGTCCTTAGCTCTTAGTCCTTAACTCTTAGTCCTTAGCTCTTAGCCCTATCACTAACCACTAACACCCCACCTTCCTCTGACAGCCCCATTAACTCCTCTCTCCTGCATCACCACCACTAAGTACATCCCCACATCTTCTCCACCAATGCGCCTACCTCTTATCTTCATCCTACTTCCCTCAGCACGACTACCTCTGTCACCTTTCCTCTCCCTCTTTATCTCCTCAAGCTCTCTTTCTCCTCTCTCTACCTCCACCTCTCTCTCTCTCTCTCTCTCTCTCTCTCTCTCTCTCTCTCTCTCTCTCTCTCTCTCTCTCTCTCTCTCTCTCTCTCTTCTCTCTACCACCTCCTCCCCCTCTCTCTACCTCCATCACCTCCCCCTCCACTTCTTCCCTCCCCTTCCCCCTCTCCTACCTCCTCTCTCCCCTATTCCCTTCCCTTCCCCTCCCCTCACCCCAGGTATCCATTCAAGCAGGTGATGAGGCTGCCATTATCCCACATTATCCAAGGATTAGCGGACGGCAGCGGGGCATTAACCCATTATCCAGCCTACCTACCGGGCGGACAACGACCGGTTACCCGAGACTAAAAGTGGATCGAGCTCTTTACTCTTCCAGGAGCAGTGCGGGAGGTTGCTAATTATAAGTAGGTATTAAGGTAACGAGGAAGGTAAGTAACCAAAACCGTAGCTAAGAATGGGAAGCGGGGAGTATAGGGGTGTCTTTTTTTTGACGTGTGTGTGTTTGGATTAAGCAAGAATAGTGTCTGGTTACGTGGAGTATATCTAGGGCGAGTGGGATCATTGCAGATATATATAAATGAGCACACGCTTCCCGCCTACATACAAGTACAGAAAAAGAAGGAAAAAAAGAAAAATAGAAAAAAGAGAGAAAGAAATATAGACACGTGTGAGTATGTGTGTAAGCCGGAGTATGTGTGTTGGTATGTTATCCATATTCCATATATAATTTCCCCTGGATAAATATAACTAAACCTATACCTACAAACGCTAAATGAGTGTCCACACACACACACACACACACACACACACACACACACACACACACACACACACACACACACACACACACACACACACACACATAGATGGGCGACCTCACACCCGACCGCAAAACACACACTTCACTCCCCCACATTTCCCACACGCTAAAAATTTGTCACTCCGTCTAATGATCTGTTTGAGAATTACTGATTTTCTGAGTTCAAGATTATAATTGCTCCATTAGCATCGCTGCTGGAAGGACTATGTCGCACCGGCCTTGGCTAATGATGAGGCTAAATTCTGCTAATCACCTTGGGTCATCTCAGGTCACTCTCAGAGGTCACCGGGCGGTCACATATTAAACAAGAGAAGATGGTGCTACAGTGTTTATAGTTGGTACTAAATTATCTCAGATCTGTAATAGGGTTCTCAGAACTGATAGAATATGACTTGATATTGATATAAGATCAGAGTATGGTAATCACGATCTTAATAACGAAGCATAAAAGTTCTTGGGTAATGAGGTCACTTTGACCCAGCTTGACCTGATGTACAGATAGGAGTGACGCGGGTCATTAGCAGACGGCAGGTCACTTTTCTAAACAAATAAACATGGATGCATATACCTACGGAACGAAATTTATATATACTTAATTTGCAAAATACACTAACAAGTTAATAATTAATCATTAGTTATCATCACATCTTCCTTATCTATCTGTTTATCTATCTATCTATTTATAGAGGGAAGCAAATCGTAACCTCAGATTCCTTGCCGAGATTTCCCGTGGCTGTGACCTTGCTAAGTGTCACCAGCAGAGGTCAGGGGCGAGGTGACACATGATCCTCGGTTCCTAACGCGGTCATTCAGATGGGATCTCAGGTCACGATGGCACTGTGTGACGCCGCGGGGGGGGGGGGAGAGTTGTTGGGAGCCAGTGGGAAATTTGTGATGAATACCACGAAGTAGGTTGTAGTCTGTGGTGACGTATTTTTTGTCTGTTGTTATTCTTAATATTTTTATTTTTAATTATTTATTTATTTATTTTTTATAATATCAACTTCTACAGTTAAATATATTTCTTTATATGGATATTTCAATAAGGCAAAGCACCCTTCCAGCCTAGGATACATTTGCTTTTGAGTATCCAAATTATCTACATCATTATCACCACCCTCATTATCTACATCAGTCGCCTACACCATTATCATCACCATCATTATCTTCATCATCACCATGACCATCTACATCATTATCATCACCATCATTATCTTCATCATCACCATGACCATCTACATCATTATCACCATCATAAGCAAAAACAGCACCAAAATCGTTCTCGGTTACAAGCACAGACGAAGACCTGCCTTTCAAAGACCACTAAGACTCCAGCCCCTTTCACAGCTGACTGAGATTTCCCTCTTTCTTGTAGGAATGTCATGCCAGGTCACTCCATCAACCCGTGACAGCTCTTCACCCTAAAGTCACGTGACCTCGTGATGACAAAGAAAGAAGGATTTATTTATAATACATAACTCTTTCTCCCTCGTTGTGTGCGTCTGTTGTGCGTGTGTGTGTGTGTGTATGGGGGGGGATGTGTTTTTGTAGGGGGACGGTGTATGTGTTTGTATGTGTGTGTGTGTGTGTGTGGGGGGGGTGTATGTGCTTGTGTATGTGTGAGGGGGTAGGTGTATCTGCTTCTGTGTGTGCGTGTGTGTGTGTGTGTGTGTGTGTGGTGTGTGTGTGTGTGTGTGTGTGTGTGTGTGTGTGTGTGTGTGTGTGTGTGTGTGTGCGTTGGCTCATGTGTTTCGGCGTAATAGTCCGTGTAAAAGTAGAATTGTTACCATATGTTTGTAGAGGTCACTTTTGGGTATTTTCTGTCTTAATTATTTTTTACACATACACACACAGCCATGCACAAACACACAGACACACACACACACACACACACACACACACACACACACACACACACACACACACACACACACACACACACACACACCTCCATATTCTTAAATACGGAATCGACTGTATCCCTCATCCCTTGAAAATCTCCGCTATCTTTGATACACTACACCGAACCTACACAACCTGGTTTTCAAATAACAAAAATCTACATTCTAAAAACACAAAACGGTTTCTCATCTTCCCGAACGGAAATCACCCTAAGATCACACTAGTGTTAGGGTGACAGAAGGACAAGTGTGTCAGCGTGACAAGTGGGCCGACCTGTTCCCACTTGCACCTGATCGTTGGCACTCTGACCTTACCTGACCCCGGAGCGGCACCCAGGTCACGGTTAGTGAATGACCGTTGGCCGCATTGGTAAAAGGTCACCCGCCTACGACCTTTAAGGAGACTTTTAAAAATTTAGTTCATTTTATTTTCTTGCATTTTTAGGAAATAACTTGGAAGTATACGTTCGATATCTTGGGTTCGGTTCTTGAGTTAAACATCTCTATACAGCTATTTTATATGCAGAGGCACGGCTCTAGGCACAGCAGGTCAGACTAGTCGCGGGAGGGTGTCATTCGCGACGTGGTGACATGAAACGAGAGATGAGCTGATCGGCAGGGCGGCAGAATGCGGTGGGGGGGGGGGGGGAGAGAGAAGGAGGGACAGAGGGAAGAGGAGACGGCCTGTGTGCCCTCCTTGGTTTTTGTGTGTGCGCCCTGACCCACGTGGCAACCCTTTGTTTTGGAGGGAGGCTTTCTCTCAGTAAGCAGTTCCCTATGCACACACACACACACACACACACACACACACACACACACACACACACACACACACACACACACACACACACACACACACACACACACACACACACACACATGCAGACACGTATTGGGTAAATATTTTCCTAAGAAAAATTCTATATATCTGGACAAGAACTGTACTAAATGAATATCCAGCGATAAAATCAAGATAGAGTAATTTTACATGTAACAACGCCTCCGTTTTTGCCATCTAAATTTTATTTGAATTGGTTCAGTCTCTTTCATTTAATGATATCGCTGTCGTTTATATCATATCAAGGCATAAACAAGTCCATAAAACGAAAAATACCCGTATTGATATAAAAATCATCCCAACCAAAGCATAGCAAATACCCCCCCCCCAAAAAAAAAAAAAAAAACGAAAAAAAAAACGAAACAGTAACACCAAAACACAAAGAAAAACAAAATCGCATCGCCACTCACGGTCTGGGCGCGGGGTTACGGTCCCTCTGGCGGCGATTCTTGAACCAGTTGGACACCTGCGTTAGAGTAAGGCCCGTCTGTTTCGCCAGGCTCCGCTTCTCGTCAGGCGTCGGGTATCGGTTCTGCTTGTAACACTCCTTGAGGGCGACTCGAGACTTCTCCTTGAAGCAGTAGATGGTCTCTTCGCCGTCCCAGATCGTCTTGGGCAGCGGGTATTTCTTGCGGATGCGGTATTTATCGACGGCTCCTGCAGAAGGCGGGGGAGAAGGGGGGGGGGGGGGAGAGTGGGTTAGGATGTGTTAATTTATTTTGCATCTGTCTGTTTATCTATCTTTAAATCTAATTTTCTGCTTATTTGTGATTCTCTATCTAACTATCTATCCAAGAAGATGAAGCATATGATAATAATAGTAGTGATGATATTAATAATGACAATGATAAATTATACTAATAATGATAACAACAACAACAGTAACAAAAATGATAATAATGATGATGACAATAATAATAATACTAATATTAAAAATGTTTAAAAGATATTACTATAGTCATTATCATTTTACTGAGAGAGAGAGAGAGAGAGAGAGAGAGAGAGAGAGAGAGAGAGAGAGAGAGAGAGAGAGAGAGAGAGAGAGAGAGAGAGAGAGAGAGAGAGAGAGAAATATATATATAAATATATATATATATATATATAGAGAGAGAGAGAGAGAGAAAATTCTTCTGTCTTCACTGCAAAAATACTCTAAAATCTAGTGGCCATTGCCTTATCCAAGCAAACAAAAAAGAAAGAAAGAAAAAAGAAAAAAAGAAAGAAGAAAAAGAAAACAGGACATTGCAGAACAAAGGGAAAGGTAAAGAGAAAAAGAACTGTAATGATTCCAAGTAAAATGGACGAACGAGAAAAAATAAAGATAGAGATAATAAAAAAAGAAACAAAACAGGTTGGAGATATTTAATTTGAATTGATGTAAAATATATAAGACCACTTTTTCTCATATTCACTTTTTTTCTTATATTTCCTCTCTGTTTCTTTGTTTTTCATCGTTTTTATATCGTTCGTCACAGACAGAAAGGATATATATATTAAACTTTCCAGTATATTCTCGTTTTTTTATACAAGTGCATGATTAACATTTAGCTTTTAATATCTGCAACATTCATCTACACAAATGACACTTTGCAAAGAAAGATCACGTCTGCAGCATTAGCAAAGACGACGGTTAGAATTCTGCAACGGAAGAGACACTGATATCAATTTAATGCATTTAATTAGATGAAACTAATCGCACTTTGAAAGATACTTCTGTGAAAATTATATATAATTTTTTTGGCAAACAACATTTCGAAATATGATGAATAGCTGTTGATTTAGTTCTTTCAAATCCTGTGTCATAGTTTATTCGAATTGATAAATGACGAATTATATTTTATCTATTTGTTCACTTATTCCTTTTGATCGTTTAAGTATTAATTGAGCCATTTATCGACTTAATCATTTAGCCATTCTTTAAGCCGTTCATTGAAGTATTTGTTAAGTAATTTACGTATCTCTTCATTACTTTACATCTCAAGTTGAGTTGGTTTTCCAATAGAATAACTTCCACTATTGCATTCATTATAAAAATATATTTGAACGGAGTCGAATAACTGATAAATTACAAAAGATTTAATCAACATAATTATCATAAAATTGTTTGACGAGATATTGTAACTGTATAAATGCATCTGATCAGTTCAATTAATTTTATCGCCGCATGCATTTTAATATGCAACGGTTAGAATTCAGCAACGGAAGAGACACTGATATCAATTTAATGCATTTGATTTATCTTGATTGTATATTACTGTTATCGACAAAATATTCCTTTGATATAAAATACGTTATTCTTTTGATATATGATTCAACGTGAAATTATAACCAGCAAGTATCTGCCTTAAAAAAATAAATAAAATATTAAAAAATATTTAAAAAAATTGTATCTTTCGCAAAACAATTATAATTTCTTACGTAATGCACACGGTCACAAAAAATAATTGCAGAAAAAGAAAAGGAAAAAGAAAAGAAGAAGAAGAAAAAAGAAATATCTATCTATCTATCTATCTATCTATATATATATATATGTATAAATCAGTATTTCCATTTTCCACGCGCATGAGCTGACACTGTTTGATTAAGTAAGAATACATAAAAATAAGCAAAAATATACAAACAAAACAAAACAAAACAAAATAATCAACGAATACAAAAAACAAACAAGAAAATAAATAATAAAAAAAGAGAAAATAGCGAAACGATCACGCATACAAATTAAATAAACACTTCATCTAAACAAACAAACAAACAAACAAAGAACCCAAACAAACAAACAAACAAAAAACAAACAAAAAGGTAATACAATCAAATCACCAGACATTTATACGCTAATGATGAGATCGTTAGACACTCTGCAGCTGTCAGGGGGGGAAGGGGGGGGGGGGGGGGGGGGGAGGTGAGAT